ATCTGAAGTACATTTAAGCGGTAGGTATTTTACGCTCTCGATCTGCCCATTTGTTTTATTATTTACAAAGTCGGTCGGTTCTGATGTAAAATTTTCGGGACGAATAATAATAAAACATAAAATAAAATATCGATTGCGTATCTCATCTTATTTCGGCGAGTTGTTGGTTTGTATCGATTCGGAACGACAAGACGTCTCATCGGTTGCTCCGTGCCTTCGCCTTGAACGCCAACAAACTCGCATTAACGTCGATTGACATTACGCGTACTGGCCGGAACACACAGAGGAACCACAGAGGCTTCTCGTAAAATGTAATATTAAAATATAATATTATTTTTCATTTCGCCTTTATTTTCGTATTATTCGTATTAATCGTACTCGGTGCTCCTGCGAAAAACGATAAATCGCTAAGCTACCATTGCGGCCGTCGCATCTCAAATTCCTCCACTGTCCATTTTAATTCTCCGAAAAAAAAAACCAAGACAAATAGAGACCGTTTTCCTCCATTATTAAAATAAAAATTGTAGCATCCACTATTATTACTTTGAACAGGTTATCCGTCATTTTCTGGCCAAGAATAATTTAGCGTTATATACATTTTTATGTAAACATTAAATATTGTGTAATAAGCTTAAGTTAAATTATGGTACATTTTTGTAGTTAGCATTTAATTAATAATAAGAGTATTATATTATGAAAGGATAAAATGTATTAACTTCATAATATATGATAACAATAAAATAAATAAATGTAATAGTTACAAAATTAATGTATTATGGTTTTAATATTTGAAGGAAAATAGACGTGTTTCTAGTCTAATCAAATGAGCGGAGGAAAGTTGAAATTACCTTTGTGTTGATAATAATAAATAGTGTGGGGAAATCGGCATCTAATTTTTGGAGGAAATTTATCCAGTCCACAATTCTAATATAAATGCAGCTTATTAATGTATTGTACTCGTGCACAACAGCCCGCCAATACTATGAGCATACTTATCTACCCATAGTCTGTAGACTGTCTAAACTCAACTATTTAAATACTTAATAGAAATTTTAAATAATTTCCAAGCATTTTTATGTAGATAAGTACTATAAGTACTTAATGCACTGAACCCACTTTTAAAGTACAGCCATAGATCACAAGATGGACGTGATACTCTCGATTTAAGAAAAAAATGTGTTGTCTACAAAAAGTATTGTACAAAATCAATATTTTTGTGGGAGTGCGGGAAAACTGTCAGTCAGGGGTTGTGTGATTTCCCAGGAATGTTTTGCCTTACAAGTATATAGGTACTCGAAATTATGTTTTTATTTCGGCGTGAGGGGCAATGTATTGTCATTTTGAGGCTGAGCGATGGAATAAAAATATTTAAAATCTATTCGGGAAAGATGAAATTATTGCCACTGAAACGCATGAAATAATTATTAATCTAACTGGGACATGCCGAACGAGAAAAAAACTAAAATATTATTACCATCGGTGCTACCTATATAATATAATATTACAGCCATCGGAACCGTAAACTGCACGTACTGAAACCATACGATAGTAATAATGATATGTAGAAGCACAATATGCATTATGCAACCACTGCAGGATAATAATTTAAACCAAATGTCATTGATTAATTAAAAATCAAAGCTGGGTTTGGCCTTTATACTATTTCCAACGTATAATTATTGTAATACTTCACCCTCGGGATGTACGACAATCGCGAAGGTAACAAATAATTCGTATAGCTGGAAGAAAAACGAACAATAGTATTGAATATCAAACGTAGGGGTGTTTCACTCCACCCACAGCATAATATAATACCTGTACCGTGAATCCTTGCCCTTTTGCTCTACCCAAAGCTTCCGTCAATATTATTTTTGATAACCGTCAACGATAATATGATAGTAATATTGTGCTGTATTAATGTTGTCACCCTTATCGCACAAAGCCAACTGGGTGGACTGTGTTTGCGCCTAAATGCCGTATTTGCGCCTATACGCAAAAACCTCGATTGCGCTTAAAATACGTTAAAATACTTGTTTGCGCCCATTACGTTACAAATCAATAAATTTGGCAACTACGTTTTCCCAACTATTTTCATTTTTGAACCACTGTGAAATATTGGGAAATTTAATTTCTATATCAGTCGTGACTCGATATACCTTCATAGGGGGAGATTGTAAATTCCGCCCGAAATGAACAAGTAAAAACAAGGTCTATATGGTAAATTCCGCCCTTAAAAATATCCAAGTAAAAAAGGTACATGTAAATTCCGCCCGAAAAAATATACAGGTACAAAAATAGTTAAAATATTTTTAAACTAAGCGTTCCGTGACTGTACGACGCTACCGTACTTTTCGTGACGCGGAGCGTGTTATAACTTATAGTATTGGGAAGTCACAAAATGTTCGAACACGGAACAATCGTATCTCAAATATTTACTTTTATAATTATTACTATTTTAACAATTTTATATGCTATACAATATACACGACTTATAATAATATGTGCTAATTATTGATGATGATTTAATTTTACTATAATATTATGATCGCGATTGTTATATTTACTTTTATAATTAATACTATGATAAATACAATAATATGATTAATAAGACACATTCAGAAATTTGTTTATTAACAGTAAGTAATAAATGTATTCTTTATAAACCTATTATACCTATACGGTTTTGATTGAAAAATTCAAAAAAAAGTAACTTTAAACTTTTAAACATCATTGTAATAAGAACTTTTTACTTATACATTTTTTCGGGCGGAATTTACCATTTTCGGGAGGAATTTACATGCGCCCCTTCATAGGATACTTATCTTTAATCATATCTAATTTCTTATCTTTGCTATAGATAATTTGTATTACCTATATATAGTCGATATACGGCATTTTACGGCGGTATTTCAATCATATACATTAATCATAAAATGTGTGGAAGTCCTAACAGATACATATTTAAAAATAAATCTTGCTAAAACAACAATAAAACAACTAAAAAATAAAGCAGTTATAAAAAAACACCAGGTTATCAACGAATTAAGATATACATCAACATCAACAATTATCTTCATAAAAGATATAAGTAACAAAGTCAAAGTAACTCGAAAAATTTAAATTTTATTTTATTAAAAATATAATAGGTGCTTACATAAGAAATAACAACGACGCGACACAACAGTGAAGAAAAATTTAAATTTAAATTTATTAAAAATATAATAGGTACAATAAAAAATAATAACTACACAACAGAACAGTAAAGACAAATGTTTAACCACACCAGAATAATTCAATAAAGTTTATTCTGTCAATTTGAAATCTGAAAAAAGCGTTACTAGAAATTTAAGTTTTACTGCAATGTTGCCAAATTTATTTATTTGTAACCTAACTAGGCGCAAATAAGTATTTAACGTATTTTAATTTTATTAAGCGCAATCGAGGTTTTTGCATATAGACGCATATACGGTATTTAGGGGCAAACGCGGCCTCCCAGCCAACTTAATATCAACACGGCAAACGTAGAAAAAACCAAAAAACTTAAAAAAACCACAAAAATAAAAACCAAATTTTTGTATTTTATTAGACACTATTTCTGATAACAAAAATATTCAGATCAATATAATAATTGTTATTAAAATTATATTTCTCTAAAGTATAGCATTTAAATAATTAAAAAAATATATCATTTTTTATTTATATTATGTTGACATATTATGTATATACCTATATGAAAAAATTTTTATTTGTTAATTTAATTGTTTTACTTCATTGGATTAACCAAATTTTTATTCGACAGTTGTTTTAAAAAAAACCATGTGAAATTCAACAAAAATCTACTTGAAACATTTTATTTAATTTTTATACAATAATTGTTTTGGATTATAATATAATCATATTATGCATTAGCTGTAATTCATTAATTTACTTATTATTTATTAACTTTGTGATAAAAGTACGAGACACGAGTACCTAACCAGAGAATCAGGTCAGTTGGATGATTATATTGATCTAGATAATTTATAATTAGAAAATTAAATCTAATGTCTAACAAAATAATATAACCAAATAGAAAAATATACAAATTTGGTTTTTATTTCGGTGATTTTTTTGTGGTCTTTTTCCTTGGTTTAGGAATTCCATGATGCATTAACAGCACCTGTCACTAACTGTTATTTTTATTATTGCTAAAAGTACTTTGTATCTATATCACAAAAACACCGACCCATTCAATTATTAACGATGAAATTTAGAATTCAAACCATCCGTAAGAACAAAAATGAACGCAAATAGGTATATCTCAGCAAGGCTGGGCATTAACGAGTTAAAAATTATAATTAAGTTATAACGTTAAGTTAATTTTAGTTAAGTTAATTAACTCGTTACTTTTTTTTGTCAAATTAAATTTTACCTTGATAAGTTACTTTTTTTCAAGATTAACGTGTTAACTTCGAGTTAATTTTATTTCAAAAATATCTAAATTAAGTTAATTTTTGTCCGAAGAATAATGCAAATTTTTTAATGTGTTTTTTCTTTGATGTATCATTTTAAATTTCCCCAGTAATTTTCTTGGACGTAAAGAAAAACTATCTAATAAACTATATTATGTGACTGGAATTTAAAATAAATAAATAAAAATCATTAACTTGCCCAGCCTTGCATCTCAGTTGCCACGCAGGTAACTATAATAATAATAATATCACATACAGTACAGCGATTCACTAAATATCATCATAATATTTATTTTAACGTTTACAAGCACCAATAATAATAATAATAATAGCTAAATTAATAATTAATAATGCGCACTAAATTGTGATTATACGTGGTTATACACCTGAATCAGCGAAAGATTGTGTGTGTGTGTGTGTGTGTGCGAACAAAGAGAAACATTTTCTGATATAATAAAGCGAATGTGCCTCCCCGTGGACATATTATTTTATATAGCGTCATTATTACACATGTATAAATTAATTCGTGTACTTTAACTGAAATTATATTTATGCGTTTAGGACGTAAGTAATATACAAGTTTAATGAACTCACCACTGCTGTAGGAAGTTGCCCCGGTACTATCTGTTGACTAGCAGCCATAGTCATTTGCTGCATTAATGCATTCTTTAGGGAAAAGTGGTTACGACCATTTATCAACAGCTGGTCCTTGAGATGCTGCCTTGGATGGAAATATTTGCACGGCGGTTTCTCTCGGTTACACCTGCCCTGTAATTCATTAACATAAATAAATTGAGTATTGAACATTCGCTTATTGTGTTAAACAGAGGTAAACATAAAACATTTAACGGTGTACACATAATGTGTCTGTTTCATCAAAGAAGGCAGGCAACACAGTTTACACGCGTTTAGCAATATATTATGCATGTGATATTGTATTCATTGCCAAAATAAGGCACTATTAATGTCCCCGGGGCCACCATTTTCTACACAATAACTACACAAGCGACCGATGTGGAACGTGTTAGACATTTTTTTTGACGAATACGTTCTCGGTTGGATCACATAGATCAGGAGTGAGTGACTTTTTTTGATCTACGACCCCCGAATTTATTTATTTCGACTAGGCAACCCCCTACCAAAATTACATTACATATTATATTATAATATTATACTATACAGTACTTTTTCATTTGGCGTTAAATTATTGGCCACCTTCTATTAAAATTTCGCGACCCCCAAGACCACCGATATAGATCATTGACATTGTAATTGAGTAAAATTGTATGTTTTTTTTATGAAGAAAACATTACAATAACGTGTGAAACGCAAATACCTTGAGAGAGTTTGTAATATAATAAAAGTGCTAATAATTATTATAATTATTGCATGGACTAATTGATTAAGAATATTATCTTCTAAACCATTATTTAAAATATTTTGTATAAATGTATGTAGGTACCTATTTAATAGCCATTATTAAAACGCAATCTTTTATTTTTTGTCACTTAACATATTTTAGTAGATAAGTTAAAATAGTGCAATCACTCAGGTCGTTAACTCGTAACTGCAGATTGTATACGATAATAAAATGTCTCATAATATAACCAGCACAAGCAATCACAAGACTAGTTTTACACAGTACAATTATTATATAGGCGAACGCGTTTCGTACCTAACACTGATCAACTGCGGACGCAGTACCTACATTTTGAATATTATATGTATATTTATGATTTTTTTTAAAATTAAGTTTCAGCATTTACTGAAACATAATGACACTTAACCAAGTGAATGACCTGGAGCAGATACCAATCGGATTCACGTGCCACTATTACAGCAATTTTTTAGTGGTTTGCATTTTCTCGACAATTCTTTCACAACAATACACTGACGCATATCAGTATTGTAATATTATATCAGAAATGCCATTCGTACGGGCATATTATTGTTATATTGGAACTGAATGGTTTTTTTGACGAAAACAAATCTATTTTTTGTCTTTCGAACCGATAAAACTCGTAAACATATAAGATATCGCACTTTTTAATGAAAAATAGTATATTACTCTATTCGACTACACATTTTTGATGTCTGTGGGATTTTTCGTACCTTAAATTTACTGTAAAGTAAATACACGGTATTTTTTCAAAAAAAATTATTAATGTTATTCATTTTTTTTTCCAAAATATTATCTTCTTTCAAATGTATACCTAATAAGACGTGTTTATGCTAATCTTAGTCTATATAATCACTGATAACTATAATGTAATATGATTATGGGCCCGACCAGAGTCGAAGAATTTTTAATGAATCTCTAAATAATATCGGAAAGCAAGCAACAACGAACAACGGCAATGCCATGTATAATATTAAACTTAAGATATTTTTTAAATTTCCTATATCAAACTCCTTAAAAACGGGAGGCCCAAGTTCAGGCATATTTTGTACGATAATATTATAATAGGTACAACAACAGTCCTATAATTCCTTAATTTGAGCCTATTATAACTTTACTGGATGATTATTAACATAATATATTATAATGTTAATTGTTTTATGTTATGGCTTTATTCGTATACCTACCAACGCTTGTTACGTCTTATTAGACCAAGAACACGGTTGATTGGTCTGCAAATGACACAGGAAAGGCTCACTGGATTATAGGACTTATGAGCATAAAAATTGATGTATACACACTAGCATGTACAGTATAATACCTAAATTCTATTATAATACTCGTACTTCGTAGAGTGTAGTTAATCAATTTAAAAATAAAGTAAAGAGATACCTCTAATTTATAGTTTACAATTTATGTCATAGTATATTATAATTTTCCGTGTTCAACAGTCAACACATTATTTTCAAAATTTTTCAAATTTCAATATTATTTGTAGTTATATTTTTACAAGAACGTATTTTAATGTTGTATAAAACCTACCTACCTAGCTATAGTAAAAATATCTCAGTGAATAAGAATGATGGGTAATAATATAGTATAGGTACCCACTTTTTTGTTTTTAAACCGAACTGATTCAAATTTAGTGTGCCAAATAGCCTATTGTTTCTGTCAAAAAATTAAATCAAAAAATCAAAATTAATACTGAATTCGATGGCCAAAATAAAAATAAAATGTAGTTATTGTCAGGAAGAATGCTGCAGCGTAGTTTCCTCTCCGGTTCGTTCATAAAATATCATGGTTCATAATAAAACTGAGACCCCTATATTTGTACAAAAAATTCGTCACATCATACAGTATTAAATATTGTAACACTATATTTATCGTCGTCATTACACTATGGCTTAAGTGCATAATTTACGCATGTACCTTAAGTATTGTGTGTAGAACGTTTCTCTGGAAAGCTTGATAACGTTAAATTTGTGGCCTTGAATCGGGGGGGGGGGAATCGTAATACGTGACCAATGTAATAATAAAACTAATATTATACATTTATACATAATATTTAATATGTTATAATAAAATTAATCTCTGATCGTTGTACGTTTTCTTAAAACTAAGTATATGCGTGATCCATGTCAGGTATATTATATTACTGTGGGAGTCGGAAAACATGTTCGGAAATTTACAAAACTGCTACGATAATAATAATATGATATATGAGGATCAATGATAAGAGGAAAAAAATCTGTCGAAAACATATAGATAACGCCCGAGTGCGTTAAGTAGATATGTGTAAAATCAAATTTTGGCCGAGGTAGGTATTTAGTGTTATTAAAACCATTTAAACCATTTCCATAATAATAATATAATGGTACCTATATAATATATTATTTATAGCAATAACATGTCGACACAAGCAGTGTTGTGACTTGTGAAGTAGGTATATTCAGTATTGGTTGAGTTCAAATATTTTCCTTAGGTATTGTATACACATTTTAAATACTGTCCATTGACAATAGTGATGGTTGAGTACATTTTAAATACTATATTTCATCATAATATACTGAATATTATAAGTAAGTACTGGAGTATTCAATTATATATTTTCCTCAAATTTCAGTTTTCCTACTTTCAATAAAAATATTTATTATTTTCAAATAATTATTTTAAATATTAAAATTACGAATAGTATAAAATTAACAATAAAATGTCACATCTGAATTAAATAGATTCAACTAGATATAGATTGAACAAAAAAATATAGTTATTTGCTAATACATTTTGTCTATTGTAACCTAACAATCAAAAGTATTTTTTACAACACTGGTTTCGTCATACATACGATACCATAATATAGGTTATTTTACTCGTATTAGTCGTATTAGTTTCCTACATCTACTGACTATTAATTATATTCATTTATAGCAAAGGGGTCCACCTATGAATTATTGTTTCTGTAATCTGAAGGTTAATCGAGTCGAGTGCGTTGGTGTTTTTGCCATACTTACTATCGGCATTTATTGCTCGGTTACAAGTAGGTACAGTACAATTTTCACGTCTTAATTTTAGCGGATTTCTCTAGATAATATGTATTTGGGCAATTCACATAAGTTCCACAAGTCGTGAGCCACACGGTTGAGAACCCAACGCACATTATCACTCATCAATGGGGTCATTCGTGTTCAGGATTTCCCAAAGGTTTTCTTTTTTTGGAAACCAAGACAAGAGCGCGAACAGGCGTTAAAGAAATATTATATCAACCGTTTTTTTAATGTTTTTTTTTTTTTAGTTATACTCTGCTGATATCCACAGGGTAATTCGAGTGAAATGATTTATCACCAATTTTCACATTAAAAAGACGAACGTCCGAGTTCTGTTCGAAACTTAAAATATTTCGAGGTACTCCAGTGCCGTGTGCCCAGCGGGTAGACCAGCGTCTACCTCGATTTTGAACAATTATATTATACCAGAAATTTGCATTTTTGAATTGAAAACAAGAAAATTGTAAATTTATTTTTTACATTAACACACCGAACATTGAACCTGAAATATGACGACATCGGCTTATTGGGGTGGCCGAGAATCGATTATATTGTGTGCCGTGCACAATGATTTATCCGTAAGTAAAATTAATTGGCGATTCTCAAGCGGTTCTAGGAAAAACATATTATATTGATCCGTGAACCATCGACAACCATATAATATTATATTATGAAACAATTAAAAATGAATAATATAAAAAATATAAATCATTAGGTAGTTAATAATATTATGATTGACTGTAGATTTTAAGAATACATTAAAAATTCCCTTAAGAAGAATGTATATTTGGTACAAATTTTTCTTGTAACCGGGCCTGTCCTGCATTTTTATCCTGAAACTGCCCCTGAGATTTATGTACATATTAGTAAACAATATTATACTATTTCATATTTGTAGGTAGGTAGGTACTTATATTTAGTACGCCATGAAACTCATAAATGCATAATACGGCAATCATTAAAAATACAAAATAGAAATTAAATATACAGATATTAGTTATTTATCAGTTTAAGATGAAAAATCGACAACATTTATATCCAAAATATTTTTATTTATTTGTCAGTTCAACATAAAGAATACAAGTTTTTTATATTTATAGGTATTTATTTCATTAGTTATTGGTCAGCTTAAGATTAAAAAGGTGGGTAAGTGGATGTCGCTCTGCTGTACAGTAGGTTACAAGTGGGTCACTGTATAATGGATGATATTAAATTTGAATTCAATGATATAATATCATTGTATAAGAAAAACGATTCTGAGAGGAGACGGTATGTCAGTCTAGGTATAAGACATATTATATACTTATATATGGTATTAAAAAAAATTGACCTATAATAAATACCAAATTAATCATATCACAATA